GTATCGCAGCTTATAGGACTTTGTCCCATCGTCCGTCCGAAGTATCGGTTCGTCCCATCCGAATCAGTGTTTTTGTGTTATCGCACCCCCTCATCCCTTTCAGAAAATTCTATGCGCGCGCATCCGATTCTCAGAATCCGTTAGTTTTCAAGAACCCTTTGCAACAAATGGGACGCAGTGCACACGCGTGCGTCGTCGCGCGCGCGCATGCCGAACTCTTCCAAACACCTTAGGTGTCGTAGGGATTTCAAGTCCGCGTGTCCCGAACACTTGTACAAACTGCAATAACGAGCACCATTTTTCCGCAACAGGAGTTTCAAGAAAGCATGCGCTCGCGCTCCTGCGATTCCTTCAGCAAATCAACAAACCAACACGTGCCACCCTCGTGCACATTCCGAAATCGATCGAACGCCCTTGCGCGCGCTGACGCAAGAACCCTTCGCAACACACAGGACGAAGTGCGCACGCGCGTCGTCGCGCGCGCATGTTGGAATCCTTCAACAACACCAGTTTTCACCAGGATTCACATTTTTAGCGTCCTGGATATATATATATATATATATATATATATATATATATATACACATTCACATATACATATATAAAACATATATACATATATACACGTTCAAATGGTTTTTGTATCATCAATGTTTAAAAATGGTCTGCGCGCGCGTTCTTGCGAAATCTTGCGACAAACGCTAGATTGTCATCCAATTCGACGAAACAGGCCTCTCGCGCCGCATGTCAAAGATCGTTCGATCGCCCTTGCGCGCGTGCTGGGGGGCACGAGTCCTATCAAATAGCACCATGCGGGCCACTCGCGCGCGCTGGCCGCGCGTACATGTCGCACTCTTCCCGGAGACTTCATCACCGACGCGAGGACGCCGTCATCGTCACCGGCGTGATCAGCATCGGCGCCGTCATTGGCCTTGCCGTCGTCATCGCCGTCATCGTCACCAGCATCGCTACTATCATCATCGTGTCTGCCATTGTCGACGTCGCCATGATAACACGCCCGCCCAATTTACATATTCGAATTGAAGTGCCCGCTGGGTAATGCCCAGCAGTCAGCTCCACCGCGGCCGCCTCGGTCGCGCCGAACATTCTGGCCGCTGTTCGCGGGAGCATGCGCTTGTTAACGCGGCCGCAAGGATGCACCAGCCTACACCAAACAGTCATCGTTTTCGCCGACGCATGGGTTTCGCAAACCAAGTTGCGGGTGGGTCGGTGGGATGATTGCGCGAGCAGTGCAACTGACAACTCAAAGCTTTGCAAAATCAATTTCTCGTTTCTTAAAAGAGAATAGACTCTTCCCCCCCCCTCCCGGGATTATCCGCCCCCCTTTTTCGTATTGCAATTTACATATGGTTCTGCCCCAGCTTCCATCCGAAATGTGATCCCATACCATCCCAGCCCAGCCGGTATTCGCCCCCCCCGCGGCATCCTCTGAAACAAATCGTTCGCGCCTGCATTTGTTCATAAAAAATCAGAAGGATTTCATAATCGAGCGTCCAAGAAAAATAACAAAAAAGACAGGGTTTCGCAACACGGTGCTTTCAGCAACACTTGCGCGCGCGTTCTTGCGAAATCTTTTGGAAGCCACGAGTTTGCCAACATGTTCAGGACATGTTACCCAAAGGTCTCCGCGGGCGCGTATGTCGAAATCGTTCGAACGTCCTTGCGCGCGTGCCGTCGCGAGAATATGTTTCAAAAAACGGGGCGAAGTGCACGTCGTCGTGCGCGCATGCCGGAATCCGTCAAAACTTTCCGTCTCGTAGCGAGTTTTGAACCGACAGCCCAACAAACATTTAAAGCACACATGGCTCCGCAACATCAGTATTCAAAACGACGTGTGCTCGCGCTCTCGCGACTTCTTGAACAAACCGTAATTTTCCAACATTCCCATTGTATTCTGCCAAGCGGGTCTCTGGCGCCGCATGCCGACATCATTCGCACGCCCTTGCGCGCGTGTTGGTGGGGCCACTCGGGCCACAAATGCGACGGTTCGTTTCGCATGATAGCACGCGGGCCACTTTAGCCCGTCGGCCGCGTGCGCATGTCGAACTCATTCCGAAACCTTTCTGTTACCGACGCGAGGGTGCCGTCATCGTCGTCGGCGTGATCAGTTTCGGCGTCGTCGCTGGCCTTGCCGTCGTCGTTGTCACCATCGTCACCAGCATCGCTACTGTCATCTTCGTGCCCACCGTCGTCGAAGTTGACATGATACCGCGCCCGTCCAAATCGCCAGATCGCACTGAAGTGCCCGCTGGGATGTGCCCAGCGATCAGCGCCACCGCGGCCGCGTCGGTCGCGCCAAACTAGCTGGCCGCTGCGCGCGCGTGCTTGGGTTGGCGCGGCTGCAGAGCATGTTTGAGTTGGCACCACCCAGCGCCAAGCATGCATCGCAATCGTCACCGCATGGGTATTGCAAACGAAGTGCGGGTGGTTGGATGGGGCGTTTGCAAGAGCATGGGCTGTCCCAGCTCGTTTGTTACATTCAATGCCACCACGTAGCTTGCACCGCTAATATGGCACAACATATAGTGCACAACATGCATACCACATAGTTTGCAATATATATATATATATATATATATATATATATTGCACCAATGGTATTGCACAACGTAGATAGCACAACTTGTGTGGCACCATTTATATTGTACAACACATATTGCACCACGTAGGTTGTACATCATATATCACACAACGTATTGCACCACGTTGATTTACCTTTTCTGAAAGAGTATCAGGGTCCCACCCCCCCCGGCCTTAACGACCACCCTGTTTCGCATTGCAGTTTACATTTGGTTATGCCCGGTCGTCCATCCGAAATGTGATTTCATACCATCCCAGGCAGGCCAGTATCGCCCCCCTTGTTCATCCTCTGCAGAAATCATACGCGCGCACACCCGTTTATCGAAATTCACCAGGTTCCTAAAATCCCTTGCGAAATATTCCACGAAGTGCACGGCCGCGCGCCGTCGCGCGCGCATGCCGAAATGTTCCAGCAGCCTTAGGTTCCGTATGGACTTTAAAAACCGAGTATCCTGAACACATTTGCATTCAACAAACATATTCTCGCAACGGGAGTTATCAAGGAAGCAAGCGGTCGCACTTCTGCGTGCTCGTCAGCAAGCCATTTTCCAACGGGTTCCATCACATGCTACCGAACGTGCTCCTCGCGCGCGTAAGTTTGCCGAGGTCCCTCGAACGCCCTTGCGCGCGCGCAGGCGAAACAAACCCTATGCAACCGATGGGGCGTGGTGCGCGCGCGCGTCCTCGCGCGCGCATGCTGGAATATATCCTTATCCCAATGTGCCAGACAACTTTCCAAATCGAGTTCCCCGAAAACATGGCAAACACATGGCTTCGCAACAAGAGTTGTCAAGCCAAGCCTGCGTTCGCGCTCCTGCGAGTTCTTAAGGCAACCATCGGTGCTTCAACATTATTTCCAACATGCTACCAAACGGGCCTCTCGCGCGCGCGTGTCGGAATCGCACGAACGCCTTTGCGCGCGTGCTGTCGCAAGGATCATTTGCAACAGAGGGAACGCAGTGCACGCGCGCGCGTCGTCGCGGCCGATTGCCGCAAACTTTCAGGAACCTTAAGTTGCGTACGGATTTCAAAATCGAATGTCCCGTTAATGTATATAGCATATATACATACATATGTGTGTATGTATCAAGATGTGTGAACATTCATGGTTTTGCAACATCCGTTATCAAAAAAAAACTGCACTCGAACTCTTCGCGAAGACTCAAGAGACCATGCGTGACTGAACACGTCCATTACATTCGGCCAAGCGGGCCTCCCGCGCCGCATGTCGGAGTGTTTCGAGCGCCCTTGCGCGCGTGCTGGGGGGCTCGAGCCGCGTCGAATCATACAGTGCGGGCCACTTTCGCCCGTCGGCCGCGTGCGCATGTCGAACTCATTCCGAAACCTTTCTATTACCGACGCGAGGATGCCGTCATCGTCGTCGGCGTGATCAGTTTCGGCGTCGTCGCTGGCCTTGCCGTCGTCGTTGTCACCATCGTCACCAGCATCGCTACTGTCATCTTCGTGCCCACCGTCGTCGAAGTTGACATGATACCGCGCCCGTCCAAATCGCCAGATCGCACTGAAATGCCCGCTGGGAAATACCCAGCGGTCAGTGCCACCGCGGCCGCGTCGGCCGCGCCAAACTATTGGCCGCTGCGCGCGCGAGCATCCGCAGGCTAGCGCGGCCGCAGAGATGCACCAGCCAACACCAAGCAGTCATCGATTTCGCCGCCGCATGGGTTTTGCAAACCAAGTTGCAGGTGGGTGGGTGGAATGATTGCGCAAGCAGTGGAGTTGACAATTCCAAAAATCCGACAGTGCGAATTGTACCAAATACGTTGCTCCATTAGATTGCACAATATGTCCATATACATACATTTATATATACACTAATTGCTATACGTATAGAAGTTCAATCAGGCTGACATTTGTTGAGTTGCTGGCCTTCTCCAGGGGGATAGGAGGTTTTCGTCCTGGTTAATTTTCTGATGGTCGCGGGGCCTGGAAACCGCCCCCAAAGGTCGAAAGCAGTGCAAGGTTTCAGCGCGCCCGAAGTCTCGCATCGGGCGTCGAAAGTCGTTCCCCGCCCGATTTTGGGGACCGCTCTGACAAGAACCTCGAGCGGAATCCAACCGTGGCGACGAGAATTCGCCCAGGGGCCAAAGCAGGGCGAACACATTTGCCGCCGTCAATTTGGTTCGCGTCGCGAGGGCTCTGTGCTGAAGCGGCGGTCATGGCCAACACGGGGTCCACACAGCCACGATGGGTCACGGGGCCAACACGAGGTCACATCAGCCCCGTTGTGTTCCTGAGGGTTCCCGAGAGGGGTCGCACAACATGCCCGTGCACACGGGTGTGTGACGGTTGCAAGCCGGCCGCGCTGCCATATATGGACGTGGCCCCATCCGAAATCCTCCGGGCACCGAAGGCTTCGGCGACGTCGGAGGTCCAGAGAGATGGCTCCGTCGACCTCGGCGCTGCCCGCGGCTGGCCTGGCCCTGGGCGCAGCCTGCGCGGCGTTTGCGACCCGCGCCTTCGTGGGCGCCCCCGCCGCCGGCGCTCGCGGCGCATCGCTGCGCGCGGCCGGCGCCCCCGCGCCGCAGCGGCCGGAGGCCGTCGCCGCCTCCGCTGCACTCCTACTCGTCGTGGTCGTGCTCGTGGTCGTGGTCGTCGTCGTGGTCGTCGTGCTCCGCTGGTCGTGGTCGTCGTCCTGGTCGTCGTCGTGTTCCGCTGCCTCCGTCGTCGTGGTCGGGGTCGGGGTCGTGGTCGTGGTCGAGGTCGTCGTCGCGGTCGTCGTCGTCGTCGTTTTCGTCTTCGTCGTCGTCGTCGTCGTCGTCGTCGCCGCCGTCGTGGCCGTTGCCAGCGGCGTCGTCGTCGCCGCCCGCGCCGTCGTCGCTGGCGGCGTCGGCATCCTCGGCGGTGGGAGGCCGGCGCCGGCGCGCTGGCGCCCGGAGGCGGGGCGTTCGCCGCCTTGGCGGCGGGCTCGGCGCTGCTCGCGGCCGCCGCGGCCTCGCGCGGCGCCGTGCGCCGCCGCGCGGAGGCCGCGGCCCCTCTCGCCCTCTTCGCCGCCGTCTTCGCGCTCGTCGTGGCCGCCGCCCCCCTCATGGCCGTCGGAGCCGCCGTCGTCGTCGTCGTCGTCGTCGTTTTGTCGTCGTGGTCTTCGTCTTCGTCGTCGTTTGGCGTCGTCGTCGTTCGTCGTTTGTCGTCGTCGTCGTCGTCGTCGTCGTCGCAGCCGCCGCCGTCGTCGGCGTCTCCCGACGCCGCGCGGAGGCGGAGGACAAGCCCGCCAAGGCGAAGAAGGCAAAGAAGGAGTTCGAGATCGAGTTCATCCCCCGCCCGGAGGTTCGGAGGGCGCCAACACGGTTATGCACCGGCGCTAGTCCCGGCCGGGCCCATCACTCGGCACAGGGTCGGCGCCTGTGCCTTTCTGGCCAGGCCAGGAGGGCGTAGACACTGCTGCTTGGCCCCAGGATGGATGGCCTGGCCGGGATTGGCGTGGTGTGTAATTCGTGTCTTTCGATGAGGACCTTCTCGAGTCGCCAAAGTTCCCGATGTTCATGGGTGGCACCAATGGCTACATGTCCAAGGGCACCCGGGAGCGTCACGCCATCACGTGGACCGCCAAGGAGGCCTTCGTGTTCGAGATGCCCATCCTCGGCGTGGCGGTCATGAACAAGGGCGAGAACTTGTGCTACTTCAGGAAGAAGGAGCAGTGCATCGCCCTCGGCAAACAGCTCCGCAAGATGAAGATCGAGAACTACAAGATCTACCGCCTCAAGAAGGACGGCACCGTCCAGTTCATGCACCCAGCCGACGGCGTGTTCCCAGAGAAGGTGAACAAGGGCCGCGTGCAGGTCAACGGCCGCCCCTTCAACATCGGGCAGAGCCCGAAGCAGGTCGAGCTGAAGTACACGAAGTACGACGAGAAGACCTACGAGGCGGACCACCTGACCACGCTGTTCGTCAAGGCCCGCTGCGAGGCCTTCTCCGACACTGAGAACCTGTACGCCCTGCCGAACACGGGGCAGGAGGACTCCGCCTCCAAGGCGGCCACGGCCGCCATGGGCGGCAGCCTGTGAGCCTGCCTCGCTGCGGCCCCGCGCGGCCGCTCCCCTCCCACCTCTCTCGGCCCGGTGCGGGGGGCCTCCCTCGCGCCCAGAGTCAAATAGGGCCTGTCCCTCCACAGGGGGAAAACTCAAGAATAGTCAAAAAACAGTCGGGGATCTATGTTTTGCGTACTTTTTGGCCATTTGGGAGTATGTTTGTGTGTGTGTGTGTGTGTTTTCATGTTTCGTCGAAGATCCCGCTGTACGGGGCGGGGACACGCCCGACTTGAGCCCAGAGCCGGCGTGTGCGGAGGGCACGGCGAGGTCGGGGGCGCCCGCGGCGCACAGCCGGGGGGGGGGGCTCTGCCCCCGGGGGGCCCCTCGGCCTCCGCAGTGCCGTCGAGGCGCTGACGAGCCGGGACCGCGGCGGGCTCCACAGGGGAAGGGCTCGGGGTGTGCGGGCCGCGCGTGTGTGTCCTGCGCTGTGTGCCGTGGGGCCTGCTGGTCTCGGGCCGGCCGAGGCCCGCCGTGGCCGGGGACGCCCTGCCGCCCTTTGCCCAGACATACGCGACGTCCTGATTCCTGTCAGGGCGGCGTCCCTGGACCTGGCATCGCTCGGACGTGTGCATTTTTTCTCGGCGGGGACCATCGAGACGCATCCTGGACCATCGAGCAACAAAAACGCGCACGAGACTGGAAAATGCACGGGAAGTGGACGTCCGAGCGATGGCAAGTGGAGGTCCCGACCCTTTCCCCAGGGCCGGCTCTTCGTCCCGGGTCGCTTGTCGACGGCCCCGAGGCCTGGCGAGGGCCCCCCGAGGCCGGAACCGGCCCAAAGCCTCCCGTCCCGATCTCCCACGGACGCCACCCACAGGCCTGGGTGTCCCGTGCGTCGGTTCTCCGGGGCAGCTCGGGGGCTGCAGGCTGCGCTGCCCGCCCGTGCCCTGCGCTGCCGCTGGCTGCTCCTGGCCGTCTGGGGGGGGGGCGGCGGGCCCTCGCGGGCTGCGGCTGGGCGCGGCTCGAGGCACTGGCCGGGGGGGTGGGGCCGGGAGGCGTCCGGGGCCCGGGCCCTCGAAGAGCCAGCCAGGGTGTTTTTTTAGTTATAACGGCGAAGACTGATAGGTTTCTAGTAGGCTCAAAAGAGAGCATCATGACGCCCCAGGGGGGTCTGGGCAGATGCCGGGGAAAATCCGCGGAAGTCGTTTTAAGCAAACAGTTACACACTTCGTGCTCTTCGAGTTCCCAGAACTCCATTCCCGGGCCACATTTTGAATGCCCGGAGCCAACTGTCGGCCACTTTGTGGTCTTCGAGTTCCCAGAACTCCATTCCTGGGCATGATTTTGAATGCCCGGAGCCAACTGTAGGCCACTTCGTGTTCTTCGAGTTCCCAGAATTCCATTCCCGGGCCACATTTTGAATGCTGACATTTTGATGCTGAGGCAGGCTGAGGCTGAGGCTGAGGCGAGGCTGAAGGCAGACTGAGGCTGAGGCTGAAGCAGGCTGAGGCTGAGGCTGAGGCAGGCTGAGGCTGAGGCTGAGGCAGGCTGATGCTGAGGCAGGCTGAGGCTGAGGCTGAGGCTGATGCAGGCTGAGGCTGAGGCAGCCTGAGGCTGAGGCCGAGGCTGAAGGCAGACTGAGGCTGAGGCTGAAGCAGGCTGAGGCTGAGGCTGAGGCAGGCTGAGGCTGAGGCAGGCTGAGGCTGAGGCTGAGGCAGGCTGAGGCTGAGGCTGTGACTGCGACTGCCGTTGCCACTGCGACTGTCATCGCGAATGCGACTACGACTGCGAGAACAGCAGAATTCTACAACTGGATTCTCATCTGAATCTTAAGGGGAATGCTTCCAGATGTGCTCCTACACATCGCTGTTAGGTTGCTTTGCCGGGATAATTTTTGACGAGCGGACAGCAGGCGCCCCGCGCATCCGCGGGCGCCCGGGAAGGCGCCGATCAGTCCGGCGCTTTGGGGAGCTGCGCGCGCCGCTGCGCAGCGAGGCAGCCCAGGGTGCACCTCGTCAGGCGAGGCCTCAAAACCATCACGTCACTGATTTTGGGCCCCAGGGCCCATTGAGGCCCCAGGGGCCCCAGGTTGGTGAAGTGATGTTTTTTCCCACGTAGTGGCCCCGAAGTTCATCATTTCATTAAACCGAGCCCAGGACGAAAGTCAGGGGCCGAATTGCTGTTGTGATGCAACACATGTCTCGTAGCAGGCGATCGTAAGCATGGATCAAGGGGGCGTGGCTCAGCGACGGGTCCCGCTTCCATGGGGAGGCGCGGATTTCCGCCGCCGAGCGAGGCGGCACGGGCCGCATTCTGGGGAGGGCACCTCCCCCGATCCATGGATTTGGCGACCGCGCGCCAAATCCATGGATCGCTAATCCATGTCTGCACGCCCCCGAGAGGAGGGGAGGCACGACGAGGATCGGCACCCGCAGGAAGAGCAGGAAGGGAAGGAGAACGACGTCGGCCTGAAGGGGGAGGAAGAAGTGGAGGAGCAGGAGGAGGAGGAGGAGGAGGAGGAGGAGGAGGAGGAGGAGGAGGAGGAGGAGGATCGCTAATCCATGTCTGCGCGCCCCCGACCCCGGGGGTGCGCAGAGGCCGGCGGCGAGCGGAGGATGGCCGGTGGCGGGGCGGCGAGGGGGGCGGGGGGGGGCTCCGCAGAGATGGCCCGCGCCGCCCTCCGGGGCTGCTTCCTGCGAGCCCCCCAGGGGAAGCTGCAGCTGTCCCACAGGGCGTGCCGCCGAGAGGAGCGGCCCCAACCATCCCCTCGGTCTAGGCCTTCTGGGGAGCGCCTGGGAAGCCTGGGAACGCCTGGGAGCGCCTGGAAGCGCCTGGGAACGCTCGAGAGCGCCTGGGAGCGCCTGGGAGCGCTTGGGAGCGCCTGGGAGCGCCTGGCAGCGCCTGGGAGCGCCTGGGAGCGCCTGGGAACGCTTGCGAGCGCCTGGAGACGCTTGGAAGCGCCTGGGAGCGCCTGGGAGCGCCTGTTGGTACCCAGACCCCCAGTTTTTCTTATTTTTCGGCCTCTGGGGGCCTTTACCGGGCCTCGGGGACGCCAAAAGACGACTATAAGGATGAGGAACGGGTCCCCGGGAAGGGGTCGAGACCTCTGGGGGTCGACGTCCTGAAAAAATCATGGCGTCGGGGGTCTGGGTAGATGGGGTCGGTGCAGATGGGGGCATCGCCGATGCACCGGCGATGCATCGGCGATGCGGCCGGACGTGGGCCCAATTTTCTCCACGCCGACGTCGCCGATGTATCGCCGACGTCGCCAGTGCATGGCCGGCGCTTCGCCGATGCATCGGCGATGCGTCGCCGATGTATCGGCGATGCGGCGAGATCCCCCGACCCTATCTAGGAGGCCTCTACTCTGGCGCTCCGCCCAGGGGGGCTGGGCTGGAACCTTCGTGCCCCCAGCGTGGAGTGCTCCAGAGGGCCGCCTCGCCTGGCAGGAGTCTGGAGACGGACACCTCGCCATTGGCGGAGGCCCGCGGAAGGCCCACGGAAGGCGAGGGAAGTAGAGCGAGGGTTGCCCTTGCAGGCGGAAGGTTGACGGGAGCAGAAGTTGCCCCCGCCCCCCCCCCGATGAGAGGTCAGCGTTGGGTCCGCTTTGATCTGTTTCAAGGCACCGCCGCTCTAAACTCATTGTAGGCATACCCGTGACTAAGAATCACATCCAGATCCAGAACGACCATACCCGAATCGACCACTCGAAACTCGTATGGGCATGCTCAAAAGCATTAGCACATAGGGTGCCGACGTACGCTTTTTGCACACACCTGGCGACCCCGCGCGCCCGCCTTACGCACGCAGGCCCAAGCCGGCATCCCACAGCCTCAAAACAATCAAAGGGGATCCGAGTTCCGCGCGAGCCTGCGTCGGGCTCTGTTCAGCAGTCCGCCGCGTCGAGCTCGGGGCGCGCCGGGTGCCCCGCAGAACCCCAGCGCGCCCCGGTGTGCAGCGGCAGCTGGTCGTCGCGTCCTGGAGGGGGGCGATAAAAGGGGGCGGCCGCGAAGGCTGCAGCGAAGAGGGGCCCCGCCTATAGGGCCCCTGGAGAGGGGCTCCGTAGCCCTCAAAATAAGGGAACGAACAGTGCCACAAGCATAACAACTCGAAGGTCCGCGCGGATTTCTCGGATCGGCGTGTGGGCCCCCTGGCGGCGCCTCCGGCGCCGCCCCTGGCGCGCTCCGCGCGCCAGGGAGGGTGGTCCGGCGCCGATCTGGGACATCCGCGCGGACCTCCGAGTTTTCATGTTTGTGTTCGAGTGGGCGCTCCCCCTATCAAGGTCAGCAAGGAGGCCTCCGGGGCCCGAGAAGTGCACTTTTCTGCCCCCCCCCCCTCCCCCCCACGTGTCGCTCCTCTACGAAGCGCCGCCCGAGGCGGGCGGCCCGACCTCGCGCTGCCCTCAGCCGCGCCCGCCCTGGGGGCCTCCCGCTCCTCGCCCCTCCCCCCGCACCATCCCTCCCTGCGCGGGCCGGCCCGCGGGGCGGGCTCGAGCGCCGAGAAGTGACGTTTTTGAAGGGCCTGCGGGAGGGCGCCCGACCTCCTCAGCCTTGCCTCGGGGCGTCGGGCGGGGCCAGGACGAGGATGAGTCCGTTCCAGAGCGTTCCGGGTGAGGATGAGGATGAGGATGAATCCGTTCCGGCGGGAGGGCGCCCCGACCTCCTCATCCGTAGGGGAACGAGCAGTGACATAAACATAAAAACTCGGAGGTCCGCGCGGATTTCTCGCGCGCTGGGCCCCCCTCCCTGGCGCGCTGGAGGCGCCGCCAGGGGGCCCCAGCGCCGATCCGAGAAATCCGCGCGGACCTCGGAGTCATTCTGTTTATGTCATTGCTCGTTCCCCCAATTAGGACGAGGATGAATCCGTTCCAGAGCGTTCCGGAACGCTCTCAGAGCGTTCCAGAACGAACTCTCTGGGGATGCTGCGGCGCCCGAGACATGCTCCAGAGCCGCCGGATCTCGGAGATTCTCGATTCATCCTCACCCGATGGTATTCTCGCCTCGGCTTCGTCTGAAGGGAAGAAGATGTGCCGATGT